GGAGGGGGGAGGGGGGAGGGGAAAACTTCCTGGATAAAGTGACACCAGAGCAGGGTTTTAAAGGATGAGGAGTTTGCTAGACGAGTGCCTCTCAGACTTTATTGTGCATACCAATCACCTGGTATGGGGGTGGTATTGAAATGCAGAGTCTGATTTCGTAGGTCTGGGGTGGGGCCTGGGGTTCTGCATTTCTCACAGGCACCCCATGGTAAGAGCACATTTTGAGTAGCCAGGAGTTCAGCGTTGGAAGGGAGGGACCTCCAGGCAGCAGGACCTGGGTGAGCATAGGCGGTGGGGCTTGAAACAGCATGATGCACTCTGGGAGCGACGCCCATGAAAGGACGGGGTAGGGGTAGGTGGAGTCAGGTCAGGAAGACCTCATCTGCAGCCTCTGGCCAGAGCTAAAGAGACTCCAGGAAGAGATGATTTTCCCTGCAAAGCATCATTGCACGCACCACAAGCCACAAGAAACAGCCAGGCCATCATGAGTATTGCCCTGACCCCTGACACACGACCCTCAGGAAGGGGTTTCTCCCGATCTGGAGAACCAGCCCTGCACAAGCTGGTCCTTCCAGCCGGGGTCCACGAGGGACCGTGCTGCCTCCGGGGTCTGAAACGCCGTTTTCCTTCCAGATTAAAGAACTCACCGGCAACCTCAGCAGAAATTCTCCATCTTCCAGCCTGTCACCCGGCTCGGGGGGCACAGACTCAGACTCCTCCTTCCCACCCACGCCCACCGCAGAGAGGAGTGCGGTGATATCGGTGAAAGACCAGAGGAGGGCCATCAGGACACTGTTGACATGGGTGCAGAGGAAAACAAGGAAGTAAGCCGCACGCCCTGTGCCCCAGCACCCCGTGCTGCTGCCAGGCAGGGGGAGGAGGGCTAAGAAAAAGGGCATCACCATTTACTCAGTCATGTGCCCGGTGCTTCACATAGACTCTCAGAAAAGGGATTCTGTCAGTTTCTGTTTCTGCACACAAAACTGTACTCACCCCATGTTTGGTTTGCAGAAAGCTGATGATAGAATTTGAATAGAAATCCCAGGGGCCTTCAACACATTAAATCCCAGTGTGGGGATGGCCCTTGGATCCTGTTAACATGGACACATTTATTATTAAGCTTCTGGGTATCTTTCAGAGTCTGCACCTACTTAAAAACGAGTAACAATAAAGGCTGCAACCTATCAGAGTCAGGTCTGGCCCTTCCAAAACTGAGACAGGTGAACTGGAACCAAGTTCCTGGCCTTCTGTTTAACCCCTTCCAGACTGAGGGGAGTCTGGTGAATCTCTTACCTTTCTAAGCTGCCTCTGTAAGATGGTGACTTACCATTCACCCCCTTATGGGAGAGTTAGGGTTAAATGAAATAAACCCTGTGAAAGCACCTTGCAGAGTACCAGCACTTAGTAAGTGCTCAGCAGCGGATCCTGGCTCCCCAGTGTATGGAAATAAAAGATAGCAGGAAAAAATAAAAGATGAGAGAGAAGTTGGATCTTTGGGGTTTTGATTCAGGGGTTCAGCGTGATAGAGTTGACTAATGTGAGCAACCAGTAAATGGTATTTTTAAATAAAGTTATTTTATTGATTTTATTTATTTTAAAATTTATTTTAAAATAAATCAAGTGAGCTCATTGCCAGGAGTTAGGGTGGCTATAACGGAGAGGAAGGGCCTTTGCAGGGAGTAGAACAGTCTGTATCGCCATTGTGGCACTGGTCACAGGAATGGGTGCTTGTGACAAAATGTCACGGCACTTACACCATCCCTGTGACACTGAAGCCAATGAAATCCTAATTCGGTCTGTGGTTTTAATAGCCCTGTACCCACGTCGGTGTCCCGGTTCTGATAACACATGCCGGTAACGTAGGATGCTGCCGTTGAAAGAAGCTGGGTGAAGGGTCTACAGGGGCCCTTTGTACTGCTGTTGCAACTTCTTATGAATCTCAAATGATTTCTAAATAACAGGATTTTTTTTTTTTTTTTTGCGGTACGCGGGCCTCTCACTGTTGTGGTCTCTCCTGTTGCGGAGCACAGGCTCTGGAAGTGCAGGCTCAGTGGTCATGGTTCATGGGCCCAGCTCCGCGGCATGTGGGATCTTCCCAGACCGGGGCACGAATCCGTGTCCCCTGCATCGGCAGGCGGACTCTCAACCACTGCGCCACCAGGGAAGCCCCAGGATTTTTTTTTTAAAGAGAGTTCAGGGATCACAGTTGAGAGACTGACGGGGGTGGATATGGTCTCAAGGGATGGAGTCCAAAGGAAATTAGTGCCTGGCAGGATTATCTATCTTTGTCACTTTTAATGTTATGATTTTATTTATATTAATCATGACATTAGCTGTCCCTTAGTGAGTGGCTTTCATGTGCCATCTGCATTGCACATTAGATTGTCCACGTGACATGGCCGTTTTGGGGGATTCAACCTAATACTTGCCCGTGACAGCTGCCCTGTTTTATAAATGAGTTTGAGGCTTAGAAGGTATGTGACTCAAGGCCACAGCACTGGAAGCACAGTGGGGCAGCCGGGGTGTGAACTTGTGTCTTTCTGGCTCCATTTTTTTATACAACACATCTATGTTTGCTGCATTTTGAACATCACTGATAAAAGGAACAGTGTATAAAATGACTCCTTTATATACATGTGTGTATAAATATGTATATATCTGGGAATTGGGAAACACAAGGTTCTATTATGTCTCCTCGTGTGATGTACACCTTCCTATCCTGTTTGTCTGGAAATGGAAATACCTATGGTTCAGTGCAGCTATCCCCATCCTCAGGGCTTGTGGCATCTTGGCCTCCCCAGGTCAGCAGCTCCCAGCCCCGCTCGGAGGCCAGCGAGGCATCCCCGAGTCTGCTTACTGACCTGCACTGAGGCTGCTGCTTTTCCTCAGGTATGGCGTGGCGGTGCAGGACTTTGCAGGCAGCTGGAGAAGCGGGCTGGCTTTCCTGGCAGTGATCAAGGCCATCGACCCCAGCCTGGTCGACATGAAGCAGGCGCTAGAAGACTCCATGCGGGAAAATCTAGAGAAGGCTTTCAGCATCGCTCACGACGCCCTTCACATCCCCAGGCTCCTGGAGCCAGAAGGTAGATGTGGTTCTCTCTCTTTCTCTTTCTTCGTAATATATATATATATATATATATATATATATATATATTTTATGTATGTAACACCTGCTGTCCAATCTGGAGAATACAGAAATATCTAATGAAGTCATTTTTATATCTCCTGTATTCCTGCCACTGAGATCATTTTCCCAGTATTTTTCCTTACATATAATTACAACTTTTTTACCTAATTGGGATCATTCAGTGTATGTATGGTTTTGTATCCTACCTTTTTTAAACCTAATGTTATAATTGTGACACAAGTATGCTGATAGGAGGTCCTCATTACATATTTTTATTGGCTGTATAATGGTCCATTTAGTGGGTGCACCAAAATTTACTTAGCTCTTTACTGTTGGTGGACATCGAGGTTGTTTCAGAATAGTCACGTTTATATATAACGCTGCAATGAACATCTTATTGGTTAAAGCTCAGTGTGCATCTCAGATTATTTCCTCCAGGACCGGGTCCCAACAGTGGCTGAATGACACAGCTAGAAAGTACACACCATTTTAGGGCACTTGGTTATCTCTGTCAAATTGCCTTCCATGTGGATTAGGCTAACTTAGGACTCCCTCTGGCAGTGAGTGAGGGTCCCAGCTCAACAGACTCGCTGATGGGGCAGGCAGTGAGCTGGCTGCTGGCAGGGAGGGACTAAGACAGTAGGGAACAACAGAATCTTGGGTACAAGGAGAGCTGGAGTCTTCATTCCACCTTCTCTGCTCATCAGCCACTTGTGAGGCTTCACTCAAATCATTCCCCTTCTCTGGGCCTAGATTTCCTGAAGTGTACAATGAAGAGAAAAAACCTCCCTGGTCTGTGGGATCCTTCGGCATCAAGCATCCCAAGATCCCATGTAAAAACCGTGTGTTCTTGTTGGTGGGAATGTAAATTAGTGCAGCTCTTATGGAAAACTGTATGGAGGTTCCTCAAAAAATTAAAAATAGACAGTCATGTGATCCAGCAAACCCTCTACTGAATATATATCCAAAGGAGATGAAATTTTTAAAAAAAACAAAAATAAACCAACCATCTCAGGAATTCCCTGGCAGTCTAGTGGTTAAGACTCAGTGCTTTCACTGCTGTGGGCTGGAGTTTGATCCCTGGTCAGGCAACTAAGATCCCACAAGGTGCACTGCATGACCAAAAACAAACAAAAAAAGCCCCCCCCAAACCCCCAAAACAAACAAAACCAAAGGAAATGAAACTGCAATCTTGGAGAAATATCTGCACACCAGGGTTCACTGCAGCATTATTCACAATAGGCAAAGCATGGTAACAACCGACGTGTCCATCAGTGGATGAAGAGATAAAGAAAATGCTGTGTGTATGTACAATGGAATATTATTCAGCCATGAAAAAGAAAGAAATCCTGCCATTTACCACAGCACAAATGAACCTGGAGGACATTATGCTGCGTGAAGTAAGCCAGGCACAGGAAGACAAATACTACACGATCTCACTTATATGTGGAATCTAAAAAAGCCAAACTCATAGAACCAGAGAGTATAAGGGTGGTTACCGGGGGCTGGGGGTTGGGGGTGGGGTGGGAAAAGTAGGGAAATGTACAAACTTTCAGTTATAAGATGAATACATTCTGGGGAGTCTAACATACAGTATGGTGACTATAGCTAATAGTACTGTATTGTGTACTAGAAATTTGCTAAGAGAGTAGATCTTAAGGTCTCTCAGCACACCAAAAAAACCCCAAAAACAAAAAAGGTAACTCTGTGAGGTGACGGATGTGTGAATTAACTTGATTGTGGGAATTACTTCACAATGTATACGTATGTCAAACCATCATGCTGTACACCTTAAATATATACAATTTTCATTTGTCAGTTATACCTCAATAAAGCTGGAAAACAATTTTTTAATTAAAAATGTCTTAAATAAATAAAATAAAAACCGTGTTTTGCGTCTCCTTCTAACTCCTGTGTCTCTCTTAACAGACATCATGGTTGACACGCCAGACGAGCAGTCCATCGTGACTTACGTGGCTCAGTTTCTAGAACATTTCCCGGAGTTGGAAGCCGTATGTCTGTTTTCCTTACCTATAATTCAGAAACCATACATTTCCATCAGCTGGCCATCCCATGGAGCTTGGGGTTCGGGCTGTGTTGTTCTGTGTGACAGCTGTAAGGATCAAAACTCGATCTCAAGTGCCTTGAGTGTTGCTTTGCTGCTTATTCATTTCAAAATCATAGATAACGTGTATGACATTTAAAAGCAGAGTGGGAAGTTAGGCACACCTCTTACAAACCTCTTCCCATCCCAAACTTTATTAAGATTAGAAGAGATGCCCACTTGTAATATGAATCAGCTACTTGATTTTCTAGATGCCAGATGGAACATTTTAGCAGTCTACCAGATTTTATCAGAATGTGAAAAATTCTCATAGACAATGACCATTCAAAAGCATGCCTTTTTATTTTCAGAATCTGAGTATACTTGGTGACAGAGTGTTTGGAGCAGAATCAGACCTTTTAGAAGTTGTCATGGCTCTGTTGAACCTCCAGCCAACCCGTGCATAAGCCCAAGATGATAATAACAATGATCACAAGGATAACAACAGTCCTTTATTGAATGTATTGGAAATCTGCTGAACACCTACTGCTGGCTCAGGGGAACTTAGCAATAAGCAAGGTGGATGAGGTCCCTGACCTTTTGTAGCTTTGTTCTAATAGAGGAAATAGTTGACAAGTCCGCAAACATGTCATCATTTCAGGTAGTTAGACGTACTAGACAAAAAAGAAAAAAGCATAAAGAGCTAATCCTTGCAGGGAGAATGGGCCGCTCTTTTAGCTGGAGGCTAGTCAGGTAACCATCCCCTGTGTCTCTGGGCTGACTGCCACCTCTGCGATTCCACTTGACTTGGTATCATTATTTTCACTTTGTAGCAGAGAAAACAGATACTCTAAGATGCTTAAAGAGCTCTCCAGGGTTGCCCAGCTACCAAGTGCAGAGCTGGGGTTTGATCCCAGTTCTCTGCGGTTGCAAAGTTCAGGCTTTTAGATTCCTTACAACATATGCTGAAACTGAGACCCCGTTTTGCATAGCTCAGAAGAGCCAGACTGGGTCTTCCCCAGGATGTGGCTTTCATTCCAGTCCCTACCTGTGTGTGTGTTTCCCGTCTGTTTCGGGCCCACAGATCACTTTCCAGGGTGCTTTAGAAGCAGGCATTCCACGGGCTGGAATGTCAGTTCTTCCACTTGAAGCTGTGTGACCTTGAGCTGCTTTCTTAACCTCTCTGATACATGTCTGTATGAGATGCCATCAGTAAAGTGGAAAGATGACCCACATTTCAGAGTTACGTGAAGAATGAATAGATACATAAAGTGCTTACTCCTGTGTGTGGCACAGCAGTTGATGCCCAGAAAATGGTGGTGATATTATTTTGCAATTTAATCTTCATAGGCCATTACTAAATTCTGAAATACTAGGCACCAGGGCTTTTATTAGCCCTGAGCTCTTAAGCTGTAGGCAGAGTTTAAAATTAACTAAAATTTATGATATTTGTGTGAGTCAAGGTCACAGCCGGGATTCAGCAGATCTGACACTTGGGTCTCCCCAGTGCTGGGGTCAGAGACTAGGGCTGGGGCAAGAGAGGTTGAACAAGATATGATACCTGGAGTAGGTCATCCTGACTCATGGAACACAGTGCATCACCACAGAACAGTCCATTTACATCCCCAGGGGAATACAGATGAGCCATCCCAGCTAATCTAGACTCCCATTAAACCGCTGTTTTTTTTAAGCTTAACAGTTCAGCTGAGTTTAGTACATTTCAGTAAACATTCATTAAGCCCTGACCGCGTACCAGACACTGTGCCTGGCTTTACGGCCCGACATATGGCTTATTTGGGTAAACATACCATATGCACTTGCAAAGAATGCGTCTTGTGCAGTGAAAGTGTTGGCAGTCTTTAAATATCAGGTTGAGTTGGTTAATATGCTGTTCTAATATCCTATGGACATACTGACTTTTGTTTTTTGCTTTTTCCTAACAATGAGTGTGAGGGAGAAAAGTTAAAAATCTCTGACTTATGATTGTGGATTTGTTGTGCTTCTTAGTTCTGTCAGCTTTTGCTTTATGTATGTGGAAGCTCCGCCACACACGTATACACATTTAGGACTGTTGTCTCTTCCTGACGACATCATCACTTTATTTTTATTTTTATTTTATTTTGTCTTGGAGTGTCCTTGGTCTGACAGGAATATAGCCATACCAGCTTTCTTATGATTAGTGTTTGTGTGATACATCTTTTTCCATCTTTCTCCTTTCAGAGTATGCTTATGTTTAAAGCACGTCTCTTGCAAATAGTATAGAGTTGGGTCTTGTTTTTTATCCATTCTGGCAAGAATTAGTGTGTCATTTTATTAGTGTATTTTTTTTCACCATTTACTTCATGTAATCTACCATCTTGATTGTTGTTTTTTTATTGGTCCTATCTGTTCTATGCTCCTTTGTCCTTCCTTTCTAACGTTTTTTCTGATTATTCAATTACTTTTTTGGTTTCCATTTTATCTCCTCTGTTGGCTTTAAAACAACATCTCCTTGTTTTATCTTTTTAGTACTTTTCCTAGGGGTTATAATATTCATCTTGAACATAACTCAGTCTACTCTGGATTACTATAATACAACATTAAATAAAATGCGTATTTCTATATTTTTATATATGCAACTGTGTCATTCCACTCACCTCTTCCCCATTCCTTTGTGCTGTTATTGCCACTGACTTTCTTCTGCATACGTTTTAATCCTCAGTGCTTTGTTATTGTTTGTGCTTTAAACAGGAGACTTTTTAAGAAAACTTTTAAAATAGTCTTTTATATTGGCCATACATTTACCATTTCAGGTACTTTTCATTCCCCCCTTCAGCTCGAGGCTTTCATCTGTGATCCTTTCCTTCAGCCTGAAGAAAAACCTTTGTATTTCTTGTAGTATAGCTTAAGCAGTTATTTTAGACTCTTTATTTACTAGTTCTAACCCCAAGTTATCTTTGGGTCTACTTCTAATGACTGTTGTTTCTCCTGATTATGGGTCTCTTCTCTTGCTTATTTGTGACTTAAATTTTTTTTATTTTATACCAAATCTGGTGTATACAGGAGCAGTACAGTTGAGGTAGATGACATTTTCCCCCCCGAGAATATAGCCCTTTCCCAAACAAGGACCTATAATGAGGAGCTGATCATTTTGACCTTCTCAGGAGCTGATAAGGGCCCTGTTGAAGTTTTATTTAATTTCAGCCCTCCAGTTTCAAGTAATTGTATGATGAGGTCAATCCACCCTCCCTCCCAGTGCATTGGGAGCCACGCTCTGCAGTACCACCAAGATTGCTCTCTGCTTTTCAGCCCTGCTCTCAGCTGCTGCATCTTTTTGTTTCTAATTGATTTACAATGTTATGTTAGTTTCTGGCATACAGCAAAGTGATCTTTGCCATATGGATTATTACAAGATATTGAATATAGTTCCTTGTGCTATACAATAAGTCCTTGTTGGTTATCTATTTTATATATAGTAGTGTGTATATATTTACCTCAAACTCCTAATTTATCCCTCCCTTGCCTTTCCCCTTTGGTAACCATAAGTTTGTTTTCTGTGTCTGTGGGTCTGTTTCTGTTTTGTAAATAAGTTCATTTGTATCATATTTTAGATTCCATGTAAAATGATATCATATGATATTTGTCTTTGTCTATCTGCCTTACTTCACTTAGTATGATAATCTCTATGTCCATCCATGTTGCTGTCAGTGGCGTTATTTCATTCTTTTTTATGGCTGACTAATATTCCACTGTGTGTGTGTGTGTGTGTGTGTGTGTGTGTGTGTATACACCACATCTTCTTTATCCATTCCTCTGTTGGTGGACACTTAGGTTGCTTCCATGTCTTGGCTATTGTGAATCATTCAGCTGCATCTTATTTAGCAAAAGTCCCTGTGTGGGAAAATTAGTATATGAAGAGAATTAGTTTTGTGTTTGGGCCCCTTCTAGATTCAATCTCTCACGCCAGCCCACACAATCAATAAATATTTAGCTGATCTTTCCTTATCTCAATGAGTTCGCCCTCCTGTCCATACCCAGACCAGGGAGTGGCCCACAGGTGTGAACTCACGGACAATCTCTGCTCACTTAGGAAGGGCTCATCCTCCTCCAGAGTTCAGTTCATTGATATGTCTTTGCAGCCATAGCTTTAAAAAAAAACACATTCTTTTTAACTTTGGTGTTCT